TGCTTGCTCCTTTCCATGTTTAGTGCTTCTTTTAGGAGCTCTTGTAAGGCAGACCTGGTGATGATGAAATCTCTCAACAATTGCTTGTCCGTAAAGGATGTTATTTCTCCTTCACTTATGAAGCTTAGTTTGGCTGTATATGAAATTCTAGGTTGAAAGTTCTTTTCTTTAAGGTTGTTGAATATTGGCCCCCACTCTCTTCCGGCTTGTAGGGTTTCTGCCGAGAGATCTGCTGTGAGTCTGATGGGCTTCCCTTTGTGGGTAACCTGACATCTCTCTGGCAGCCCTTAGCATTTTTTTCCTTCATTTCAACCCTGGTCAATCTGACAATTATGTGCCTTGGGGGTTGCTCTTTTTTGTGGTGTTCTCTGTATTTCCTGGACTTGAATATTGGCCTGCCTTGCTAGGTTGGGGAAGTTCTCCTGGATAATATCCTGAAGAGTATTTTCCAGCTTGGATTCATTTTCCCCGTTACATTCACGTACACCTATCAAACGTAGATTATTAGGTCTTTTCACATAATCCCATATTTCTTGGAGGCTTTATTCATTTTTTTTCACTCTTTTTTCTCTAATCTTGCCTTCTCATTTTACTTCATTGAGTTAATCTTCAATCTCTGATATCCTTTCTTCTGCTTGGTCAATTCGGCTATTGAAACTTGTGTATGCTTCACAAAGTTCTCATGCTGTGTTTTTAGCTCCATTAAGTCATTTGTGTTCTTCTCTAAGTTGGTTATTCTAGTTAGCATTTCATCTTACCTTTTTTCAACGTTCCTAGTTTCGTTGCGTTGAGTTAGAACATGTTCTTTTAGCTCAGAGAAGTTTGTTTTTACCTACCTTCTGAAGCCTCCTATTGTCAATACATCAGACTCATTCTCCATCCAGCTTTGTTCCCTGGCTGGTGAGGGGTTGTGATCCCTTGGAGGAGGAGAGGCATTCTGGTTTTTGGTGTTTTCATCCTTTTTGCACTTCTTTCTTCCCATCTTTGTGGATTTATCTCCCTGTGGTCTTTGTAGTTGGTGACTTTTGGATGGGGTCTCTAAGTGAACATGCTTTTTGTTGATGTTGAAGCTATTTCTTTCTGTTTTTTAGTTTTCCATCTAACAGTCAGACCCCTCTGCTGCAGGACTGCTGGAGGTCCACTCCAGACCCTGCTTGCTTGGGAATCACCTGCAGGGGCTGCAGAGCAGTAAGGGTTGCTGCCAGTTTCTTCTTCTGTTATCTTTGTCCCAGAAGGGTACCTGCCAGATGTCAGCTACGGCTCTCCTTATGAAGTACCTCTTTGGATCTAAGTGCACTTCCCAGGTGAGGCAGTGCCCTACCCTGCCTCAGCTCACCCTTCTTGGGCTACACCTGCTGTGCAAACAGTCCCATTGAGATGCACCTGGTACCTCATTTGTAAATGTGGGGTGATTAGTCACCCTCTGCATTGCTCTCACTGGGAACTGCACTCCAGAGCTGTTCCTATTGGGCCATCTTGGATCTCCCCCATCCTGTCTGTCAGTTTTTAAATATATATAGTTTGCCGGGCACGGTGGCTCAAGCCTGTAATCCCAGCACTTTGGGAGGCCGAGGTGGGTGGATCACGAGGTCAAGAGATCGAGACCATCCTGGTCAACATGGTGAAACCCCATCTCTACTAAAAATACAAAAACATTAGCTGGGCATGGTGGCGCGTGCCTGTAATCCCAGCTACTGAGGAGGCTGAGGCAGGAGAATTGCCTGAACCCAGGAGGCGGAGGTTGCGGTGAGCCGAGATCGCGCCATTGCACTCCAGCCTGGGTAACAAGAGTGAAACTCCATCTCAAAAAAAAAAAAATATATATATATATAGATAGATAGATAGATAGATATAGTTTGTTTGTTTGTTTTTGTTTTTTGAGACAGAGTCTCACTCTGTCACCCAGGCTGGAGTGCAATGGTGCAGTAGTCTCAGCTCACTGCAACCTCTGCCTCCCAGGCTCAAGGAATTCTCCTGCTTCAGCCTCCCGAGTAGCTGGGACTACAGGTGCCCACCAAACTTTTGTATTTTTAGGAGAGATGGGGTTTTGCCATGTTGGCCTGGCTGATCTCAAACTTCTGACCTCAAGTGATCCTCCAGCCTCAGCCTCCCAAAAAAGTGCTGGGATTATAGGTGTGAGCCACAGCACCCAGCTGTAAATACATACATGTATATATTTAAGACTAATCAAGTGCAGTAATGAGAAGGAAGAAGTAGAACAAAAAGTTGAGAAAAGCTCTTGCTCTGTAACCAACTGTAAATGATTGAGTACTATACTATTGTACACAAAGGACTTGAACATTCAGATTTTGGAATCCCCAAGGGTCCTGGAACCAATCTCTCACTGATAGCAAGGGATGACTGTATTTGTCAAATCATGAGTAGTTAATACTGTGAACTTAAAGAAATCCCTTTATGACAACTGTCTTAAATCTGTAAATTAACTAAAAAAAAGACCTAACACAGAATAAGCATTAGATTAATTAGTTTACATACTATCAATAAATTGTTTAAAGATTCACCAGCTGCAATAAACCCACAAATAGGAAGAATTTATATCTTTACACTGTTCAGTCTTCCTAATCTGGAATATGGTATTGTTATTGGATTAATGACTCCAAAATTAAAAAAAACAACAAAAACAAAAACAAACAAGGCCAGAGCTGATTTTTGCAACTGCTCCACACAAGGGGAAAATGACAAAGTTCTATAAAACATGCAAAATCTTTACTGACCTTGCAAATTCACAATGCATGTTAAACTTTAAAAGACAAAGTGGTTGTAGTACCCTTAAGAGCCAAATGAACCGGACTAAAATTTCCCTAGTCGACCAAATCTAGGAGATCAATATTTATTTATTTATTTATTTAGAGATGTAATTTTGCTTTTATTGCCCAGGCTGGAGTGCAGTGGCATAATCTCAGCTCACTGCAACCTCCATCTCTTGGGTTCAAGCAATTCTCCTGCCTCAGCCTCCAGAGTAGCTGAGGCACCTGCCACCACACCTGCCAGACAGGTAGCAGACAGGCACCTGCCACCACACCTGGTTAATTTTTGTATGTTTTTTAGTAGAGATGGGTTTTCACCATGTCAGCCAGCCTGATCTCGAACTCCTGACCTCTGGTGATCCACCCACCCCAGCCTCCCAAACTGCTGGGATTTCAGGCATGAGCCACCATGCACCCGGCCAGAGATCAATTTTTAGATGCATAATTATTTTATGTACCACCAAAGAAAAAAAGCCCTGTCAATTTAAGTTTGATGCCAAATCTAAATTTCAGCCTGTCTCTAAATAAATAAATGCTATTTATGATGCATCCCAATGTCAGATATTAAAAAATATTTTTTTAAAAACCATTAGAATAAATAGAATTCAAATGCAGTGGTTAAATATCCCTTTACTTTAGTAACAAAAATATGTAAAATACTTATGTACAATCTTACCAAATATGTTAAATATTACATTATGTTGGCCGGGCATGGTGGCTCAGGCTTGTAATCCCAGGACTTTGAGAGGCCAGGGCAGGGGGATCACCTGAGGTCAGGAGAATCGAGACCGTCTTGGCCAACATGGTGAAACCCGTCTCTACTAAAAATACAAAAATTAGCTGGGCGTGGTTTCATGTGCCTATAATCCTAGATACTGAGGAGGTGGAGGCAGGAAAATGGCTTGGACCAGGGAGTCGGAGGTTGCACTGCATTCCAGCCTGGCGTCAGAGCGAGACTTCGTCTCAAAAAACAAACAAATAAACAAAAACCACATTAAATATTGCAGATCCTAATAGATTCTGTATTTGGGAGTTACATACTTGCTAAAATTTACTTGTAACACCAAAATCAACAATCGCAGTATTTTCAGTCATGTGTGAACATACATATTCCCAGATGAGGTTGAACAAAGTGCCACTCCTGTCTTCCTGTTTCAGCTTTCACGCTATAAACAAATATACTTTCCATGGTCTATTTAGAGCCATAGTTTTGGCATTTTTTGTGATTTTTGTTAGAGGTTTTGTCATTTAAAATGGTCCCCAGGTTTACTGCTGTCGTGTTCCTAAATGCAAGAAGGCCGTGATATACCTTTTTGAGAAAATAAGTGTTAGATAAGCTTTGTTCATGAACGAGTTACAGTGTTGCTAGCCACGAATTAACAAATCAGTAGTACATATATATTGAATAAAGTGTCTTTAAACAGAAACACTCATAAAACAAGGTTATATATTGGTTGGTTGATGAAAAAAAATGTGACTAGAGGCTAGCAGGAACCTAACCCTGTGTTTTTCCTAGAAATAGTGGTTTAGTATTAACAGCAACTTTACAGAACTACTGAAATTACCAATAATTGACTGCAATGGATATCTAGAGCCTTGCTATTATTACTATTTTCTTCATAAACTGAATGTCACTGTGTCCTAACATTCCTCAAAATATATGAAATACATAAAACTCTAAAACTTCACTGGGAAGAAAAGCTGGTTCAGATAGAGAACACTACTAAGTTCCCGCACAGAAAGAACTAAATATTGCAAAATTCATATTCCTTTTCAAAAGTACTCCTTCTCCAAATTCAGTCACATTGGAAGTTAGAAAAAAGAAGAAAAAGTACTCCTATTGGCTGGGTGCGGTGGCTCACACCTGTAATCCCAGCACTTTGGGAGGCCGAGGCAGGTGGATTACTTGAGGTCTGGCATTAGAGACCAGCCTGGCCAAAACGGCGAAATCCCGTCTCTACTAAAAATGCAAAAATTAGCTGAGTGTGGTGGTGCATGCCTGTAATCTCAGCTACTCGGGAGGCTGAGGCAAGAGAATCACTTGAACCTAGGTTGTAGAGGTTGCAGTGAGCCAAGATCGTGCCACTGCACTCCAGCCTGGGTGAAGGAGTGAGACTCTGTCTCAAAAAAAAAAAAAGGAAAGAAAGAAAGAAAGAAAAAAAGTATTATGAGAAGTATTATTTCACAGATTCACAAGAATTTCACATTAAGTAATAAAGGCCAGTATATACCTTCTGTTTTTTTTTTTCTTTTTTTGAGGCAGAGTCTCTCTGTGTTGCCCAGGCTGGAGTGCAGTGGCACCAACTCGACTCACCATGACCTCCGCCTACCAAGTTCAAGCGATTGTCCTGCCTCAGCCTCCCAAGTAGCTGGGACTACAGGTACGCGCCCCTAGGCCCGGCTAATTTTTTTATTTTTCATAGAGATGGGATTTCACTATGTTGGCCAGGCTGGTCTCAAACTCCTAACCTCGTGATCCGCCCGCCTCGGCTTCCCAAAGTGCTGAGATTACTGGCATGAGCCACCGCACCTGGCTTAGATATACTTTTAGTTGCTTTAGAAAATCCTGCTATTGATTTATGACAGAGATTCTTCTCATTATGGAGGCATTTTCTAGGTTAAATCTTCAGGAACAAGAACTTTATGTTATTAAACGTTATATGATATCTATTATAGTTAATAGATGAATTGTTTTTTGACTACATTTAATCCATTTCAAAATACTAAGCCATGCTTGCATAATTATGATAGATTAAAAGAAACTGTGAAATTTCATTTCCTATTCTTTCACTTTGCATTTTTTTTTTTTTTTTTTTTAAATTTAAGACGGGGTTTCACCATGTTGGTCAGGCTGATCTGGAACTCTTGACCTCAGGTGATCACCCGCCTTGGCCTCCAAAGTGCGTGGATTACAGGCGTTAGCCACCATGCCCGGCTGGATTTTCTATCTATATTCATAATACATTTCTTAAAAAGAAAAAAAAAAAAAAACTAAAGTTCATATGTAACATCTCAGGCTTTAAATATCAGATGTGTATAAAATGCTGCAGCCCTAAGATGCTACCTGCCTTTTTTTGCAGGATGGGGGTGTGGTGGTGAAGAGCGGTGAAGAGAAGCATGTTGCCGGGTGGGTGGCTCACACCTTGAATCCCAGCGTGTTGGGAGGCCGAGGTGAGTGGATCAAGAGGTCAAGAGATCGAGACCGTCCTGGCCAACATGGTGAAACCCCATCTCTACTGAAAATACAAAAATTAGCTGAGCGTGGTGGTGCGCACCTGTAGCCCCAGCTACTCGGGAGGCTGAGGCAACAGAATTACTTGAACCCGGAAGGCGGAGGTTGCAGTGAGCCGAGATTGCGCCACACTGCACTCCAGCCTGGTGCCTGGCGACGGAGTGAGACTGTCT